TGTGTTATTTGTTATTGTTTGGCTGGAAAATATTTTGTGAAAAAACAGGATATACAACCATTTTTATAGTACACCAAACACAAACATAAAAACAGGCGAGATTTACATTTTAAAAAATCACAAATGATTGTTTATATTCCCTTTAACTAACTGTCTGTGTGTCTGTCTGTCATTCTCTCTCTCTCTCTCTCTCTCTCTCTCTCTCTCTCTCTCTCTCTCTCTCTCTCTCTCTCTCTCTCTCTCTCTCTCTCTCTCTCTCTCTCTCTCTCTCTCTCTCATTTCCAGATCTCTGGAGTTTTTCACTTATCATTTGTCACACATCATTCTTTCGTAGAAGTGTATTTACACACTTTGACATTAACTCTAGCAGGCCTTTATCTCTCTCATTATAATGTTAATAATTGTTTGGTGCGATGTTTGAAGAAGCACAGAAATTCATGGATTCCATGACGCAGGGAAAGGGAGATAATCCTGCTATGCCCAAGAGCCACGAAGCCTGAATCTGCTAGAGGAAAACTGTCCGTCTCTTGTAGGTGTTGTGTCTACGGGCACTGATCTGATGTATGGACAGGAGTATTAGGTGCCAGACAAGCTACATGATGGGCAGCAGAGGGTACACACAAAAAAAACATAAATACATATAAACAGGTATTTGCAAACTGCTTCCATTTCCCCCTTCCTTCCTTTCTTCTTTCTGTTATTAACCTGCACTAATCTCTTGCTTTTTTTTTTATTTCTATTTCCTTTCCCTTTTTGTTCAGACTTTCTTTATCATTATTGTTGGCTTCATTGCTGCTTTTATAGTTATGATAATTATTTCCTTATCAAGACCACAAAGATCATCATTATCATGAAAATATTATCAGTAGGATCATTTCCATTATCATTGTTGATTGTCAATTATATTATCATCATCATCATCAATAATCATTCTCAGTCATTGTCATCAAATCATTTTTATTATTATCCTAATAATCATGATTTTACTATCATAACTATATCTTCATTTTCTCTTTGTTGTTATTGGTTTATTTTTCATGATTACCATTATTTAATCTTCATAATTTTTATGATCTTCATTTTAGCATCATCATCAAATATCATTATTTATATTACAGTTATTATTAATCATCATCATCATCACTAATATCAAATTTATCAATGATTTTGAGTATTATCACAAAGATATCAACATCAATTACTATTATCATGAGCTAAAAATAGCAATCATTATTATCACAACCAGTTTCATTACCTTCATTATTATAAAATTCATTATCCTCATCATCATCATCAAAGTCACCCAATTTTTATCTGCCATGAAGTCACACCCATCTACCATTATTAAGAAGCTGATTTATCCCTGTCCATTTATTGCCAGTGTTTTTGCAAGTTACTTTTAGATACCTTAGTCTAACTGACAGGCTTGAAAATAGGAAACACAAATGTAAATGATTATTACTATATGTATTTTCAGTATTATCATTGCTGTCACTGTTCATTGGCACTGCAATTTTTATATTAAACATTACTAATATCATTACAGTTGCTACTATCATTTACATAATCAACTGATTAATAATGAATACAGCTCATCACTGCCTTCGTCACTGTTATTACAGTACTATTATAGTGCTAGAGTTAGTGAGTGTGAGTGTGCATGTGTGTGCGCATGTGTGTGTGCGTGCGCCTGCATGCGCTTCTTTTCACTCTCTCACTCTCACTCTCACACTCACTCTCACTCTCACTCTCACTCTCACTCTCACACTCACACTCACACTCACACTCACACTCACACTCACACTCACACTCACACTCACACTCACACTCACACTCACACTCACACTCACACTCACTTCAAATTCTCACACATACACACTCATCCTCATAACCAATGCCTGCCCACATCTACACACACACACACCTACTTCCCTTCCCACAGGGTGAATAGAGGTATTTCTGGCTTCACACTGCAGATTGTCTCAGAAACACTATTCAACAAAAAAAAATCAGATGATGATTTTTCTTCCAAACAAAGTGTGCAGATAGAGTATCAGTGTCATATTCACATACAGGTCAATAGTATATGATATGACAAAGGCTACTCTCCATAGGTTATGTTTTTTATTTATTTATTTTTTTTTTTTATTATTTTTTTTTTTACTAAAGTATGATAAGCAACAGTGGTTGATTTGAGATATCATTTGTCTGTGTCATCTACCAATTTAGTTTTTTTTAAGGCACTTCTTCAGACTAAAATTTAGAAGAGATAATGGCAGAAATAAGTTTTCCCATGTTTATGTTACCTGCCTTACTTTTGATATGTAGAATATATTACTCCATTTCAATTATTACTTTCTTACTAAGCTCCTATCGGCGAAAAGCTGTGCCATGCTCTAAAATTATTTGAACATCTATAATAGCTTAGCTTTGCAGTCACTATATGTTTCTTGTTAACATCAAGAAGTTTCATCTATGCTTGACAATCCTTTGCTTTCAATCAGTATATTCCTTCATATCTTCTTTTGCATTCACGAC